TGAGAATACACCAATAGTAAAACTGCAGGCAATTAAACATTCTAAAGAATAACTGGACCTCAAATTTTATCAGAGAAACCTCAAAATTATATTTTAAAAAAGGCAATATGACTTCTCTAAAAGTATTAATATCATGAAGAAGGAATGACATAACAAACTGGGCTAAATCTCAAGAAACCAATAAGATGCTAGTAAGACAGAACAGCCTCTCTCCCCCTCCTTTTCATGAAAGATAGCACAAAGCCTTACCAGAAATAACCTTCCACAAACCAGTAATCACTTATAACTGTCAATCACCCATTAATTACCTGAATGTGAGTCAGCAAAGGACCCCAGGTTCTGATGTCACTTCTTCATCCTCTGAGATCACTTCTTGAACTATTCTGGTCACACTTTCTTTGGACAGTGAGTGGTTTCCCAGGCTCTGAGATCACTTTCACATTCTCTGTAGATTTACCTCCTTCCCCTCTTTCTACTATTTGTTTTCACTCCCTACACATCTATATTTGGTGTGGATCAGCAATTTGATTTTTTTCTCCTGATAAACTATTTGCCTCAACCATGTAATGGTCTCCTTTTGGAAACCTATACAAGATCAATGAAATTAGAAGTCCTGAGTACCTTAAAGTAATTCCAAGACCAGGCTACTCAGGAGGCTAGATGTGAGGGTCTCCATTGTAAGCCAGGCCAGGCAAGAAAGTTCATGAGACTTGTATCTCCAATAAACAACTTAGAAAAGCTGCAGTGGCACTGTGGCTCAGGTGAAAAGCATGCTAGCCTATTAGCACCAAAAAACAAGAACAAGCCAGGTGCTGGTGGCTTACACCTGTAATCATAGCTACTGGGAGGTTGAGATCTGAGAATCAAAATTCAAAGCCAGACCAGGCAGGAAAGTCCGTGAGACTCTTTTTTGTTGTTGGTCGTGGGGCCTGACTCTGAGCCTGGGCATTGTCCAGTTCTTCAGTTCAAGGCTAGTGCTCTACCACTTGAGCCATAACACCACTTCTGTTTTTTCTGCTTATGTGGAGCTGAGGAATCAAACCCAGGGCCTCGTGCATGCAAGGCAAGCACTCTTCCACTGAGCCCCCTTCACAGTCCATACTCCTCCTGCTCCCCATGAGACTCTTATCTCCAATTAATCACCAGAAAACTGGAAGTGGTGCTGTGGCTCTAGTTTTGAGCTGAAGAGCTGAGGGACAGCACCTAGGGCCAGAGTTCAAGCATCACGACCAATAACAGCAAAAAAAAAAAAAATCAAAGAAATAAGAATAAGCAATTGGTTAAACACCTGATTCTATCTTGCAATTCTAGTTTCTTGTAAGGCATGTATCTAGGGATCATGATTCAAGGTATCTCAAACAAAAACAAAAATAAGTTCAAGAGACTATATCCTAACCATGGTTGGGCTAACGGCACACACTTATAGGTGATATGCATTAACTGAGTGCAGCGTACTTTAATGAAAGGGAAAATATGAATAGGGACAGCAGTTTAGAATAGCCTCGGCAAAAATAAAAGCCTATCTCAAAAATAACTGAGACTAGAGGTTTAGGGCAATAGTAGAGCACTTGCCTAGCAAGCATAAGGCTTGGGCTCATTCTCCAGTACTGCCAAAAAATGAATGAATAAATGTAAAATAATGCTAAAAGAAGTAATAAAGGGAATAGAAACCCCCCAAAAACAAAGTTGAAATTTTGGAAATAACAAAGCATTCCAGGCAAAATCTAGCATATTATGGATGAGGTTCTTAGATAACAGAGCCATTATTAACTCATTAATTCTACATGAAGGCAAAGAGCAATGATGGGAAGACTTCCATATAGGACCTTCCACTTGGCCCTAATAACACCCTTAAACATACAATGTAAAGTCAGAAAAAAAATGGCATAAACTAAAACAACATAAAAGAAATACAAACATAGCTGACACCACTGACTCATATTTGTAATCATAACTATTCAAAGATCTGAGGATCAGGGTTTAAACACAACCCAAGGAGGAAACTCCATTTTATTTTCAATTAGCCACCGAAAATGCCAAAAGTGGAGTGTTGGCTCAATGGTCCTTTAGCAAAAGCTCAAGGACAGCATCCAGATCCTACGCTCAAGCCTCAAGACCAGAAAGAAAAACAAAGTAAAGAAAAAAAAGCAGAAATGAGAATCCAGGCTTCAGTCTTCCAAAATAAATTGATAAATTATAGACTTTTCTGCAATTACCTTTGAAAGGAAAGCAAAAGCAGACTAGAGGCCCTTGCCCAGCCATTAAGTGAGCCTTAGACCAGAATGACCAGGGACAATTAGCAATGAAACACTGCAGGTGAAGAGACCTGCAGGGAATTTGTCCTCTGCAGGGGAGAATACACCTATGTCCACTCTGGGAAATTGAAAGAGAGCTTGAGCAGGGACAAAAATTGCATATTCTGCCTAGTCAATTCACACAAATTTAGCTTTAGTCCACATGAAAATGAGAAGGAATAAAACCAGGAAATCATCAAGAGAATTACATGTGGGAAGAACTAAGAAAGGAATACAACAAACTAGTAAAAGGAAAGGAAGAACAGAGAAAGCAAACTGCTGCATAGAACTTCCCTAACATGCATTTGGTTGTCAGAATGTAATTCCCATTTTTTTCCAAGGTGGCACAATACTATGGAGTCCTCTAGTGACCTTTAGAGTATCAGAACTAAATCTCAAAGGAAAAGACCTTGGGAGCAGGCTAAGGGCACTCCTGTATTCATACAGCACCCTTGTGCAAGGAGGCACACAGTGACAATGAAACAGAGGGAGTCATCTGTCATTCAGAGCACTGCTTGCAGTTGCAGCAGGATGCAATCCTTCTGGTCAAAATAGTGCATCTGAGCCTACATTGCAGAATTTGAGGGCTTACAAAGATCTGCATAAAGGAAGGAAGATGTACTTTCTTGGTCTCTAGGAACTATTCCTCACCAGAATTCCATCCCTGCATTACCCATTTTGTCTCTAATGAGACAAAATGGCTTGTATATTCCCTTTGCCATTGCGAAGTAGCAATAGATTTTTTTGATCCCTAATTTCTTTTGCTAACATTAGAGTGGTAATGCGTTGTTGACTCACTTTCTCTTCATAAGCTTCCAAAAGGACAATTACAACTCTGAAGATGCTAAAAACTGCTCAAGAAAAAGAGAACCTGGCTCCATACATAATCCATAACAAGCATATAGGTTATGTGCAGCTGGTTTGTAAACAACAGATGCTAGGGTTGCAGGTCCCCAAATTATTTTTGTTCAATACATTTCTTTGTTTATAAATCAGTGAAGAGCTTAAACATAAAAAAATGTAAGAAATGTCAAAAAGAAAAAAAATGGAAAGAAAAGGAATGGAAGACAGAAAAGCAAATGAACAACCTGGAAAGAAAAGATGGGGGGAAAAAAGAAAAAAAATAAGCTGCAAGTAGAGATATGCCTCAAGTTGTCAAAAAAGCTCAGATACATTGCCAGGGCCTTGAGTTTAAGGCCCAGGGTACCACTAAATAAGTACATAGATAAGTAAATATAAAAATGCAAAAGATTATGTTTAGACTGGCCTAGGAACAAATACACTCTACTTGAAAAATATGTTAGGTAAAAAGTTCTGGAAACATGGCTCAAGTGGCCTTATAAACTCAAAGCCCTTATCAAAAGGATGTGGGGTGGGGAAATAGGGGTGGTGGGACAGGGGAAGGGATGGTAAGGGGAAACAAAGGAGGAGGCAACAATGCTTGGTAAGAAATGTACTCATTACCTTACTCATGTAATTGTAACCCCTCTGTATGGTATTTTCACAATAAAAAATATATATAATAAAAAAGAATATAATCGACTACTGTGTATCAACCCTGTGTTTTTTCCTAATTCATTTTATTCTCAAAGTCCTTTCCCCCCAAAATTATTTCTAAATTCAAGTAACTATGAAAAAGTAAAAAAAAATCAGGTTACAGAACAAAATTGTAAAAATATTTGCTTTCTAAGCATATCCATTTTAATAAGATATTATAATGTAAAAAATAAAATTGCTGGGTGCTGGTGAATCATGCCTATACTACTAGTAACTCAGGAAGCTGACATCTGAGGATTGTCCTTCCAAGCTATCCCATGCAGGAAAATCCTCATGAGACTCTAGCTAGCCCATGCAGGAAAATCCTCATGAGACTCTTACCTCCAGTTAACAACTAGAAGTGAAGCTGTGGCTCAAACTGACAAAGCACCACCCTTGAGTAAAAGACCTCAGGGACAGCACTCAGGCCCCAAGGGTAAGCCTCATGATCATTATCATTATCATCACCATCATCAACAACAACAAAACCCAAAAACCTAAAACATAAAGTAACAAAGACCCACATTTTAGAAACAGGGAGGGATTGTTGGATTTTTTAAAAAAAAGAAATCAATAACATGTAAATGCATAGGAGTAAAAAAGAGAATGAATAGAATTAACCTCATGAGGAATATAGTAAGGGGAGGTTTGTCTAAGTAAATGAACTTTCATGTTAAAATACAGTATTATTTACATCAATAAATTTTTTATCTTAAATTTTATAGATGAAGCAATATAACATATGAGGTAAGTATAGATGGCATAAAAGCTCCAATGTGGTTCAAGAATACATTGTTTGGCAATGCTCAAGAATGAAGCAAGAAAAAACAAGAAGAAAAACTTTATTGCATGCATCTTCAGTAGTATATGTAGTAAAGCAAAAACTAGTTTTGAAAGCTGGTTTCAGCTTAAAGCTGCATTGATATAGAAATCTGAAATCCTTTAACAATAATTTCAGATGAAATGTAACAAAACATCAAAAGACGTTTACTAAGCTCTATTATTAAAACAGTAAATATTAAATTTTCCTAGGGAAATGTATATAATCTAACAGCTTCTAGTCAAGTAGTCAGTTGTAAAATAATTTCCCTAGAATTTGCTTTAAATACATCCTTAGTGTTGATAAAGAAATTCTGGCAACATGCAAATATATTCTTTAAATGTGATTCTTCACTCATCATCTACTGTTGGATTGATGGTGACTCCTCTTCTTATTTGGCCCCAACCAATTAAACTGCAAAAAAATTTGAGAAGTCATTAATTTTATGTCTATATCAGCAATATTCCCTTGTTATGATGAAACTGGTTTGATACACATAATTCTAAATTAAAACACACTTGTGTTCTATAAAGGAAAGCACACTTTGGTGTAACTAACATACACACACAAAACAAAACAAAAAACAACTATCCCATGCAAAAAACTAACAAAACCTCTAGGATTGAAGAAAAAAATAGAACTATTGACTCCATTAATAATAAACAAAGACACAAAAGTAAAAGAGGCTTTCTGAACAGATAGAAGGTATATGAGGATGGAGGACTAATAAAAGGGTAAATGAGACTCAATATAATAAATGTCATTTATTTTCATCTATGAAAAACACAACAAAACCTGTTAAAAAACCAGTTTAACAGGTAAAGGAGGAGGTGGTGAACACTGGGACAGGGAAGTGAATTTGATGGAATGCACTATATATATGGATATCTCACAATGAGATTTTAAAAATACAATTAACATATGCTAAGGAAAAGAAGTCCATATTAAGAAAGACAGCCTCTTCAGTAAATGGTGCTGGCAAAAATTGGTAACTACTTGTAGAAAACTAAAGCTAGATCCTTATATATCACCCTGCACCAGAATCAACTCCAAATGGATCAAAGACCTCAGAGTCAAAGCAGACACTCTGAAAACATTACAATGGAATAGGAGAAACCCTAGGTCTCCTTGGCGCAGGCCGAAATGTTCTGAATAGAGACTCGGAAACACAACAAATCAAAGGAAGGTTGGACAAATGGGATTGCATGAAGTTGCAGAGCTTCTGCATGGCAAAAGGACAAAGCTAGCAAGATCAATAGAAAGCCCACGGATTGAGAGAAGATCTTCACTAGCCATACAACGGACAAGGGTCTCATACCTAAAATATACCTGGAACTCAAAAAATTAAATCCCCCAACAACAAATCCAACAACAAATCCTCAAAGAAACAACTGCCCAATAAATAAGTGGGCTAAAGACTTAAACAGAAACTCTTCTGAAGAAGAAAGAAGGATGGCCAATAGATACATGAAGAAATGCTCAACCCTCCCTAGCCATAAAAGAAATGCAAATCAAAACAACATTGAGATACCACCTCACCCCAGTTAGAATGGCAAAAATCAAGAACTCTAATAACAACAAATACTGGAGGGGATGTGGACAGAAGGGAACCTTACTGCATTGTTGGTGGGAGTGTAAACTTGTTCAACCACTTTGGAAAGTAGTATGGAGGTTCCTCAAAAGACTCCACATAGAGCTCCCCTATGACCCAGCAATCCCATTTTGGGCATTTACCCAAATTACAAACAAGACCACACTAAAGCTACCAGCACAACTATGTTTATCGCAGCATTATTTACCATAGCTAAGATATGGAACCAACCCAGATGCCCCTCAGTAGATGAATGGATCAAGAAAATGTGGTATATATACACAATGGAATTCTATGCCTCCATCAGAAAGAATGACATTGCCCCATTTGTTAGGAAATGGAAAGGCTTGGAAAAAATTATATTAAGTGACTAAGTCAAGCCCAAAGAAACATAGGTTCCATGATTTCCCTTATTTGCAGTGTCTAGTATATGTATGAGTCAAAGGTCAGATAAGGTGATGTTAGGAAAATGAACCCTAAGTTTTGTATTTAAATGTTTTTTTCTTTCATGCATTTGTTTCTAACGCATTTATAAGATTATTTCTTTGTTGCTTTGTATGTCTCTCCCCCACAGTATAACCACTGCTTTCACTGTATTTGATGTTGGTATAATTTATGGAGGGGAAGGGGAAAAACAAGTCGTTTAAATAAGGATACAGGTGGACCCATTGCAACAATGAGAAGTACAAGTTGTCATGTCGAAAACGAACTTTACAACTTTGGTGGGGGGAGGATTGGATGGGGGGTGGGGAGACTGGGAAGGGATGGGAAGGGTAAACAAAGGAGGAGGCTACAATGCTTGATAAGAAATGTACTCATTATCTTGCCATGTAAGTATTTTCACAATAAAAAAAAAGAAAACAGAATTAGAAAAAAAAAAAAAAAGAAGTCCATATTATATCCTTAAGTTCCTGCAGCTTTCTAGATGGTTTCTGACTAGCATAAATAAGAAAAGCAAATAGGCTCAGGTTGTGGTATTGAACCACTTGTCTAGTTAGTGAAAAGTACTGGGTCTGATCCTCACTAGCCTGAAAACAAACACAAACAAGCAAAAAATATCAAACTATTGTTGCCATAGCTTAAATACTCATTAAGCACCTAAAACAATAATCCTATAAAGTCCTAAAATGTCCACTTAAGAAATGTTAGTCCACAAAACACTCTACTCTACCTCAGACAAGAAAGTACTCATTGCCTTACTCATGTAACGATAATGCCCCTGTATACATCTTTACAATAAAATTACAAAAACACTAGCTTAAAAAAATCGGGAAACTCCTCTGTGAACAATATAGTGTTTCCCTAACTTGACACTTCACTTAGAATAATTTCAAGATGCAAATAAACACCAGAAGATCATTACTATCCACAAGGAAATTATTCTTTTTCTCTTGATTTAGAGATTAAGGCAGTGCTAGTAATAATCTCACAAACAAACAAAAACAATCCTCCAATACTACAAACTATAAAGTAGGAAAAGTCAGTAACTGGTAGACTTGAACTTTCAGGATGTTGTTGCTCCTAAAAAAATAAGCAACCAAAACAACAGGAAATAACCAAAAGGAAGTTCTGTATATATAAAATAGGTATATATAGTAACATACATATGTATATAATAAGTATAATATAAATAGTAACAAGTCAAATACTCAAGTGAGAAAAAGAAACACTGGAAAGGGTAAGAAATTTTGTAACATTGTGCTTACTTTCTTCAAGAAATTCCTAAATACAGAGTGCCATGAAATGGAGGTCTCTTTTAATGAAAGAATTGAAACATTTAAAAATTTTGGATAAAAAGGTGTGACAAAGAACTTGTCTTAAGACATTTCACAGAAACTCTGGCATAGTTTATCACACTGGAGGCATCTGATAGCATTTTGATGGCTACAAAGATGATAGCCTCAAGTTACTTTATGGTCCAGATTCTGGGTTTTATGATTAGGAACACACTTACATATACACACCAATTAAAAAAATAAAAAAGAGCAAATGTATAAAGGGAAATTGAAAAAAAAACAAACAACAGAGCACACACAACTAGAAAAATGTTCTACTTTTATTCTTTGCTTGATTACTAAAGGTACTGCTCTCCATAAGACTGCAATGATCAAGGGTGGCAGTCAGTATTTCAGATATACTAAAAAATAGAGAAACAATGTTCAACTTCTCTACCTGTAAAAGAAATGCAAATCAAAACAGCATTGAGATTCCACCTCACTCCAATTAGAATGGCTATAATCAAGAAATCTAATAACAACAGTTGCTAGAGGAGATGTGGCCAAAAGGGAACATTACTCCATTGTTGGTGGGAATATAAACTTGTTCAACCGCTTTGGAAAACAGTGTGGTAGTTCCTCAAAAGACTCCACATAGAGCTGCCCTGGGACCCTAGCAATCCCACTTTTAAGGCCTTTACCCAAACAATCAAACAAGGCCATACTAAAGCTACCAGCACAACCATGTTTATCACAACATTATTTACTATATGGAATGAATCCTCAGTATGAATGGATCAAGAAATGTGATATGTATGTATAACACACACACACACACACACAGACAATGGAATTCTGTGCTTCCATCAGAAAGAATGACACTGCTTCCATTTGTTAGGAAATGAAAAGACTTGGAAAAAATTTTATTAAGGAAGTAAGCCAAACTCAAAGAAACACAGGTCACATGGTTTCCCTTATCTGCAATAACTAATACATGTCTAGGACAAGTAGAAGAGGTCAAAAGCTTGAACATATGACCAGATAACCTGATGTTAATAAAAATAAACCCCAAGGCAGGGAAATAAGAGGTTTTATCTTTGTTGCTGTTCTTAATATACTTATAATGTACTATGTGATTATGTGATTTTTTTTGTATGTTTTTCCCCATGGAACAACCTATTTCACTTGTATTTGATTCTGGTGCCCTGCATCTTGTATATCCATTTTTCTAATTTGGGAAGGGAAAGGGATATAACAAAATGCTGAAATAAGGATATAGGATGACCCATTATAACAATGAGACAGTATGTTAAGAATGAACTTTACAAGTTTGTGGTGAGGGGGGGAGGAGGGAAGTGTTGGGAAGGAAAGGGATGGTAGGGGAAAATATAAAGGAGAGTGTAATAATGACTGATAGGAAATGGACTCATTACCTTGCTCATGTTACTGTAACCCCTCTGTATAGTATCTTTTACAATAAAAAATATTTAAAAATAACTGAGAAACATAGCCCTTTCAAATGAACTATAGAATAAGCTTCCTCCTGGAAGTTTATTACTTCAGGAGCCTCAGATCACTTGACAGGAAGTTTAAAAACATTATCAAAAGTATGCTCATAATATATATAGGCAATCTATAAGCAATATATAACACATAAGCAATATATGGCATATATTAATGTATAAGCAATACACACTAAGTGAACAAAGCTTACATGAAATGTCAATTCTAAATATAAACAAGAGATAAAAACATAATCACAGAACTGAAACAGGAACAACTGGTAAATTTGAAAACGAGTCATATGTATTTCTCAAAGTAGCAAAATATAAAGTATATAATCCCTAAAGAATTTCCACCAAGCAATCCAATGTATGTAGCAGCTACTTACGGAGAAGAAACTGAGAATGGGTAGAGTACTTATCGGAATGAATTATGTCCCAAACCTCTCAAATACTGATATGGATATATGAACAAGAACAAATACAAAACCCCCACCGAATCTTAAGTATAAAAACACCAACACTGACAACATTTTATTACTGTCCAAGTTTACAGAAAAAGAGAAACACTTGGAAGCCTGAAAGGAACTATATAAAATAAGTCCTTAAAGATAGTATCCTTTCTTGCCAGGAGAAACCAGAGGGCAATAAAATAAAAATTTTATATTTGTGCTGAAACAAAATGCAAAAATAACACAGGTAGTTCAATATTTTAGATGTCATTAAAAAATGAAGGAAGGAGAGCCAGGTGCCAATGGTCCATGCCTATAATCTTAGCTTGTGGTTGGAAGGAAGCCTAGGCAAGAGAAGCCTAGGCAATAAGAAGACCTTATTTCCAATTAACTAGCAAAAAGGCAAAAATCTGACCTGAGGCTCAAGTGGTGGTAGAGGATTTACCTTGAATACAAAATGTCAGTAGTATTTATTGCCTAGATCATCGTACATAGCTGAATCACAGAAAGAACTGTATTATTTGGGGATGATGGTTACGTAGCAATGTGAACAGACTTACAACCACTGAACTATTTAAGAAAAAAAGAGTTAATTGTACGTAAGGAAATATATCTGAATCAGAACTATGAATTCAAGGATAAGTATTTGTTGCATTATCAGGGAGAACTAAATCTCACATGAAAATATGCTCTCTTCCCAAAATTAAGCAGTGGCAAAAGTGATATGCTTACCGCCAGTGTTTCTCAACTCTTCGGCTAAGGGCAATTTTTTCTCCCACTTCTGTGCACACAGGATTTGTGAGAACTATTTTACCCAAATCAGCCTTAACTGCACTAACTCTACCTCCTGTAGAGAGGGATCCAATGTTAACCATAAGCACTTCATTCTTGGACAGTTTATGTACCTATGGAAATAAAAAAATAATCAAAAGGTTTTCCAAATTTACCAAATACTGGATGGAAAATATATAGCTAAAGAAAACTGAATTTCCAAACAATTCCATTACAATAAGGTTTAAGATATACATAAAGGGGGCTGGGAAAGTGGCTCAGTGATACAGTGCTTGCCTTGCATGCATGAGGCCCTGGGTTCGATTCCTCAGTAACACACAAGCAAAAAGAAAAAAAGCTGGAAGTGGTGCTGTGGCTCAAGTGGTAGAGTGCTAGCCTTGGGCTGAAGAGCTGAGAGACAGCACCCAGGCCCAGAGTTCAGGCCCCACGACCAGACCCCCCCCCCAAAAAAAAGATATACATAAATTGTGCTGTTATCTATTAGACTCTTCTTATAGCATTCAGTTTAAATTTACTTAAATTTACAACAGATCTACATTTGAAATGTGATTTGTTTTGTTTTTTGTTGGTCATGGATCTTGAACTCTGGGCCTGGGCACTGTCTCTCAGCTTTTCAGCTCAAGGCTAGTGCTCTACCACTTGAGCCACAGCACCACTTCTGGTTTTCTGGTGGTTTATTGGAGATAAGTCTCACAGCCTTTCCTCCCAGGCTAGCTTTGAACCTCGATCCTCAAATCTCAGCTTCCTGAGTAGCTAGGATTACAGTCATGAGCCACGGACACCCTGCTTTTTTTTTTTGTTGTTTCTTTTGTATGTTCTTTCCCCTATGGTATAACCCCTGTTGTTACTGTATTTGATTCTGGTGCCTGTATCTTCTAAATACATTTTTCTAATTTGGGGAAGGAAAGGGAAACAATAAAATGCTGAAACATGGCCAACAAGGTTGACTCATTGAGACTTACAAGACAGGGAGTAGGTTTGGGGGGGTGGTGTGGGAATAGAGTAGGGGAAAATAAAGGGAGTAACAATGCTTGATAGGAAAAGTACTCATGTAACAGTTAAAAAAATCTAAAAAAAATGCTACTTACTAAGCACAGCACTGATCAAAAACTTCTAAAATTCTTTTTTTTATTGTGAAAATATTGTACAGAGGAGTTACAATTACATGGGCAAGATAATGAGTACATTTCTTATCAAGCATTGTAGCCTCCTCCTTTGTTTCCCCTTCCCAGCCCATCCCCTCCCTTCCCCTTCCCCCCCCCCCCCCCCCCCCCCCCCCCCCCCCCCCCCCCCCCGCACAAAAGCTGTAAAGTTGGTTTTTGACATAACGACTTGTACATCTCATTGTTGCAATGGGTCCACCTGTATTAAAATTCTTAAGTGATACTGAAAAAGGTTCACAAAATTTCTTGAAATCCAAAATTTCATATAACCCAAACTACTTAAAACTTTACAAACGTCTGAAAAACTGTTCTATCTTGAAGTTAGTTGTGTGATATTAGCTGATATTCATTTTTGTGTTGCTGTAAAAATGTTCCAAATTTTATTTAATTTCATGTTCTACTTATGGTTCTATTAATGGTTACTTTAGTAAGTCCAACCCCTGCCAATGATATCAAAAGGACCTATACATTTAGCTAGATTGATATTCTTATTCCAAATTTAAGAGAATATGTTAGTTATTCTCATAACTTTGTTTACATAACAGGTTAAGTAATGGTTTTCGTTATTGTTTTCAAGGTCTTCAAGTATAGCTAGAAGTCAGTTAAGGAATAATGAGGATATTGTAGTTCTGTGTCAGAGAACACACTAAGGCCCTAAGCTCATTCTTTACCAAAAAATTCAGAACATCAGGCATCAGTAGTTCACACCTGTAAATTTAACTACTTTGGAGGCTGAGATCTGTAGACTGTAAGAGAAAACTGTGAGGCTCTCATTTCCAATTAACCAAAACAGAACTGTGGCTCAAGCGTAAATGCTATCTCAGGAATGGCACCAGGTTCTAAGTTCAAGCTCCAGAACCAGAACAAAAAAAGAAAAACTGTAAGAAAATAAAAACACCATGTTTTATACACATGATTTTATAGCCGTGTTATTGCTTTCTCATAATCATAACCTGGTCTTTATACATGTAAAATGATGTCACAAATTTATGTAAACTTTCTACTGTTTTTTTTTTTGTCGGTTGTGGGGCTTGAATTCTGGGCCTGGGCGTTGTCCCTGTGCTCTTTAGCTCATGGCCAGCACTCTACCCCTTGAGCTACAATGCCACTTCTGGTTTTTCAGTGTTTTATTGGAGATAAAAGAGGCTCACAGACTTTCCTGCCTGGGCTGGCTTTGAACTGTGATCCTCAAATCTCAGCTTCCTGAGTAGCTAGGATTACGGCATGAGCTACCAGCACGGGCTGCTTTCTACTACTATTATGAGGATATATTCATTCTAAAATTCATACATGACAGAAAGATTTTTGTTTAGATGCTGATTATGAGGTTTTAACTCAAGGCTTTATTCCTGAGCTTTTTACTCAAGGCTAGCACTCCATAATTTGAGCTAAAGCTCCACTTCTGGCTTTTTTACATAGTTAATTGAAGGTAAAGGTCTCACTTTTCCAAGGATGGCTCTGAACTACAACACTCATAACAGGCTCCAAAGAAGCTAGGATTACAGGTATGAATCACAAGTACCTGGCCTCAATGTTCATTTTTTACCTATTATCTTTTAACTATAAAATAATTAAATAAAAAAACTGGTCATAACATCACGTTTATCTTTATTTAAACAGGATTATAAAAAAAGTACTTACCTTTGCTGCTTTTTTGTCCCCTTCTGTACGTACACCTAGGAGCCGTCTCAGTAGGAAGTAGGAAATTTCCAATTCTGTAAATATTTCAGGTAATGCTCCAACTGCACCAAGTACTTGTCCTACCATTCTGTCAGCTCTGCACAAAGTTGGATCAATTTTTGTTCCAACTCCTAATATAAAAGACAAGCATATTTCCACATATTTCTTTTTTTTCTTATGCCTATCCTATGGCTTCAACTTAGGTCCTGAGAGCTTTTCTTTGTTTACTTAAAGCCTGTATTCTAGCACTTGAACATAACTCCACTTTTGGTGATAAATTGGAGACAAGAGTCTCAGATACTTTACTTCCCTAGGTAGGCTGGCTTTGAACTATGATCCTCCAGATCTCAACCTCCTGAGTAGATGGATTACAAACTATATTTTATTTCTTTAAATATCTAACTAAAGACGTTGTCTAACCAGGAGAGCATATATTATATATACTAACAACTATATCTTGCTTAAACAATGAAAAAGCAACATAATCAAATCCTTTATAAACTCCTTACATTTATATAAACATTACAGAAAACTTAGAAATAAGTTTGATGAAAATGTAAGAACAAAGCTTCTCTAAAGAAACCAATCATACGAGGCTAAAAGTTTAATTTCACTTAATAAATTATTTACAATTAAAACTAATAACCTCTATACATTACATCCTAACAAAATATTTCAAAATTAAGACTGAGAAGATAGTTTATAATAATTTACAAAACTAAAAATAGTAATTTCTAACTTTATTTGGCCTATGTGTGAGAGTAATTATACATTATTTTGCTTGTATGGATGTTTGCTGTATATTTTGGTAACAGCTATATTTTAAAATTCTAGAAGTAAAATGAGTCCTCTGGGAAAATAATGGTGTCAAAAGAAGAAATAATGCACTAAAAATTTCCTCAGTTTGGGCTGGGCACCAACAATTTTGCTAGCTACATAAGAGGCAAAAATCTAAGTTGAAAACCAGCCCAAAGAGAAAAGTCTATCTTATCTCCAATTAACCACCAAAGCCAGAAGTGGAGCTATGGTTCAAGTGCTTAAGTGGTAGAGTTCTAGCATCAAGTACAAAGATCAGGGACAATTCCCAGACCCTCAGACAGGAAAACAATATCAACAACAACAACAAGTTTAACAAAAAAAAAAAGGAAGGAAAATATATATTCACAAAGCTCAACTCTTAAACTAACTCTTACATAGATTATTTCAAAAAGTACTACAGTAAGACACAATATGAATTATTAAAACCCATAAAAAATATTACATTTACAAGGAGTTTTTATATACTCAATACCTAAATTTCTGGCAAGAAAACTGGTGGTCAAAACACTTAACTACAACATGGAGCAGCAAAGACATACATACTCCATTTCATCCTAGGTTTTCTTTTATAATTCAAAGGTAAAGAAATGGAAAAAGGAAACTCATAAAAAGAAAAAAACAAAACAAAACAAAAATATCCTGAAAAATTCAAGTTATCCATAAAATGGAAATCATACTGTAAGCTCCAATAGATTTCCACTTTATATAATACCTCTTTCTCCCTGAATAACTCCACAGCAATGCATGTAACTTGCAATATATTTAACCCTGTAAAAATCTACTTAACAAAAACTGTAGATAAGAATGTAGTGAAACATTCAAAATCTAAGTCATTTTTATTGTTTAAGTTATCCTCTACATAAAAGCAAAAATATGATTTAGGAATGCACTGTTTTATAAACATTTATCATGTATTCTAAAGTCAACAAGATATGACTGTCCATCCTGCTCTTTGATGCTGTTATCTCTGTATTTAATGGTATCTATAGTATCTAATTATACTCTACAGAAAAATAAGATAAAAGTCAACATTAAAGTTTTAGTAGTGAGTAAAATCCTTACCAATAAGACCTCCTGGAGCAGCATACTGAAGGTCATTGTGTTCTGCAAAAAGTGATACTATTTTGGAGAAGATAGGTTTACACATAAGTTTTCCTTTACCATCTTTGGAAACAATACCAGGTCTAACTTCTATCTCCTGGCCCACCTGAAACACAAAGTAAATAACTATTATTTAGATTACTTAAATTATTTAAATTACTTAAACAGGTAGAACAGTAAACTAAGAAGCATCCTTTTATTTGCAGGACTAATTTAAACATTAATTAAAAAAATGAAAATAAAAACAATTTAAAATCCACAAACTATATTCACTTAAGTATCATCAACAAAACCTATCGGTTAATTTAAAAGTTCAAAATTCAAAAAAAAAATTTTTTTTTTTTGGTCCGGTCTTGGGGCCTGAACTCTGGGTCTGGGCGCTGTCCCTCAGCTCTTGAGCTCAAGGCTAGCGTCCTACCACTTGAGCCACAGCGCCACTTCTGGCTTTTTTCTTTTTGCTTATGTGGTGCTGGGGAATCGAACCCAGGGCCTCAGGCATGCAAAGCAAGCGCTCTACCACTAAGCCACCTTTCCAGCCCTCTCCCCAATTTATATTTTAGATTGAACATTCATTTCATATAAAACAAAATAAGCATTTACAATTGTTTACCTTCAAAAGTCCTTTTAAAATACTACCACCAGCCACACCCCCTTTAAGGTCATTAACTTCACAGCCAGGTTTGTTAACATCAAAAGACCTAATAACTGGGTGAAAGAGAATAGTTTATTGTTCGAGCGAACTATAAATATACTAATCTTGCTTTATTTACAGTTTTATCATGAGTAACTTTGACCAAGTATAGTCAATAAGTGAAAGTGTTCAGTGAATGAATGAATCTAAACAAATTTTAAGACCCTCCTCAAAAATTATAGTCATGCATGAATTATGCACCTCATTTGAGGGAGAAGGTATCTTACAATACCACGTTTTATGTTGTGTTGAATGACTATGTGAACTACTGAGTATTTTTCTGCAATTATTTTTCATTGAAAAAGATTTTTTTACTGAAACTATTATCTAGTTTCGCTTAGAGGGTTTAGTCACTGGATTTGCTACCCTATTTTGTATGCATTTTTTATTGTGATATAAAGGTGATATACAGAAGGGCTATAGTTTCATGTAATGAGTACATTTCATTTTGGACAACATCATCCCTTCCTTCACTTTCTCCAATATTTCCCTCCCATACCCACCCACAAGTTGCATGGTTCATTTTCAATGTAGTATCCACTGAGTACCACTGCTGCATTTGTTCATCCTTTGTCTCTCAATTTCTTTACCTTCATATGCCCTTACAAAGACAGATAAACGAATAAGACAAAATGTTTTTTGTTTTCTTTTGTTTCCATCTCCTGGAGTTCATTTTGATAAAAATATTATTTTATATGCTCAGATGCACATAGGTATTATGCCTATGTTGTTCTTTCCTAAGGAAATCCTCCTTTGGTTTCATTGTGTGTGAATCCCTAGATACCTGTATAATTTACCATGCCCAAGATACTGTATCATTCATAAGGATTTGGAAATACTTGGAAAAATTACATTAAATGAAATGAACCAGACACAGCGAAACATAGGTTTCATGGATTTCCTCATCTGTGATATCTAAAATGTACCTATAAATCTGCTATTTTTAGTTTGTTAAAATTTTATCCCCCAAAGCAAATAATGCACAAAAAGCAAGGTAAAAGTTAATGTGCCTAATTTAAATGATCAAGTGAAAATTGTACATATACTGAAAAGCAGCATGTCTTTATTAGAAGTGGAACAGCAGAAATAATATATCAAACATCCACAGTATGCTACTGAACACTATGCAAATTTAGCTTCATGGTTTTTTCTCCATAGACAGTGTCCTTATAACTGTGTAAGCAGGGACACCAAAGGGTTTCTATAATAAAGAGAAAACAATAATACAGAAAGACCAAGTCAACAATGGACCGATAAGTAAAGGTCTTACCAATAAGCCGAGGTTCTGAGGTAAAGTCTCTTGTAGGCACTGGAATTTTCTTAACAATATACTCACAGACAACTTCAATGTTGAATTTCAGTTGAGCAGAAATTGGAATAACAGGAGCGCCTTCAGCTACTGTACCTACATAACGAAATCAGACAGAACAAAATTTCTCAGTTTAGCCTATCTGTTTATAGTACATAGCTATCTAAACATTCCATACATTTCAAAGAACATGAGAATGGAAAGAATCATTTTGTTTAGGAAATAATCAGTATTAGTTTTGCATAAAAAAAAGAAAAGATTCTAGCCTAGTGCAGATAGCTTGTGGCTTAAAGTTGAGCATCACAATTCAAAGCCAGCCTAGGCAGGAACGTCTGTGAGACTCTTATCTCCAATTAACCAAAAAGCCAGAAGAGGAGCTTTAGCCCAAGTTGCTAGCCATAGTAACAACAGTGGTAGACCACTAGCTTTTGGCAACACAAGCTCAGGGACAGTGCCCAGATTACACCCCAGGATGTGTGTATATACACACACAGAAGTAAGATTCTGTCCACTAAAAAGAAACTGCTCATTAGTACAGGTAATAAGCCAATCTTGATTTCAAGATTATATAAACAACATTAGCAAGAAACTTTGATAAAGAAAACTATACAAATTATGTAATTTATTTCCACAATATTGTCAAGATAAAGTTAAAGGTTCTTTGCTTATAGAAGACTACTTGCTTGAATTTTGCTATTAGTTACAAGTCAAAATACTTTATAAATGAAATACACCATACATTATGAAATTTATAAAAATAACTTTTATTTACCTCTTAATGGCTCAAAGGAATCTTTTGTTGTTTGTGAGGGTTTTTTTTTAACTGTATTTAAGTTTTTTTTATTTCTTAATACTGGGGATTAAATTCAAAGACACTACACATGCTAGGTAAGCTCTCTGCCACTAAATTATATCCCAGCTCAAAAAGAAACTTTTCTAACATACAAGGTCAAAAAGAAAGTGAAAATAAAATAGTTAGAAAGAAAATGCACCAAGCCTTTTTCTAAATGAAATCAATGGTGCTTCAAAAAGAAAAGGTACACTATTAAGAGAAAGGAAATCATTGTCAGGTCATACCCACTGAAAATTAAAACAGCATGAAACCAACCAACATCCTTCCAATCATTGTGCATCAATGACAAAGACTTTTCTTAATTTTGCTGGTTGTTTTTCCTAGAACTTCATTTCCAGCTAAAATGTGCATTTAGTATATCTAATTCAGAACATATTTCAATTTATATCAGAATATTACAGCAATAAGGTGACAGGTAGTATGTAAAGAGAGCTTACTGTACTATCTATTACATGAAGGTATCTAGATTTTAAGCATAGTTAAGCAATTAAAGAAAATATGATAGCTTCTTACCTTTTACAAATGCAAGGATCTGTTCATACTGTTCTTTAGCCTGACTTTCTTTTACCAAATCAATTTTATTTTGCAGAATTAAAATATGTTTAAGTTTCATAATTTCTATGGCAGCCAAGTGTTCAGAAGTTTGAGGCTGAGGACAAGATTCATTTCCAGCTAGATTGATGATTAAAAAAATTAAATGAGTAACCTTGAGACCTAATGAAAAAGACTTGTGGCATGCTAATTCTTTTTTTAAAAAAGATTTTTAAACATTTTATTATAAAGGGGTTTTATTGTACATAGGGATAAAATTGACATAAGTCAGGTAATAAGTACATTTCCTTTGAACAATGTCATCTTCTTCATTCTTTCCTGGTTTCCCCCCTCAAGACTTCTCTCCCCTGCCAAATTGTAAAGTTCATTTCCAACACAGTGTCTAGTAAGTTTCAATGCTGTTTTGGTTCATCCTATGTCCCACCATTTCTGTGTTTCCCCTTCTCCTTTTCAAGTCAGATAAACTGATATATAAGACAAAGGGTTACAGAAGTCAAAAAAAGTTAGAAATGAAATGAACCAAAGAAAGAAGGAAAGAAGAAGGAGGAGGAGGAGGAAGAGGAAGAAGAGAAAAAGAGCCACAAACAGTATAATTAAAAAAAAAACCTCTTGCTTCCATTTTTTTGGACTTCATTTCTTTGTTGTTGTTGTTGGTTGTGGGACTTGAACTCTGGACTGGGGTGCTGTCCCTGAGCTCTCCAGCTCTAGGCAAGCATTCTACCCCATGAGCCACAGAACCACTTCTGATTTTCTAGTAGTTTATTGGAGATAAGAGTCTCACAGCCTTGCCTGCCTGAACTGGCCTTGAACCCCAATCCTCAGATTTCAGCCTCCTGGGTAACTAGGATTACAGGTGTGAGCCACTGACACCTGGCTTTGGAGTTCATTTCTGTAAGCATCATTTTATATGATCATATGCACATAGTAATGAGCTCTTACGAATGCTAATTCTCATGCTATCTTGAAAAATGTTTTACTATGTCTTTTTCAAACTTTTAGCCTAATTTATTTCAATCTTCCTCATCTTTTAGTCCCCATTCCTAGATGTAAATCCTATCCTAGACTGTTTGTCTTATCAAGTTTTATCCACACCTTTTTTCAAGTGTCACAAATTCCTCTATTTTTATTTAGTTTCAGAGACATTTTGATTCTAAGAAAACATTCTAGCTAAAAGAAGAGGTACACAATGCAATTCTATGTCTCCATCAGAAAGACTGACACTGCCCCATTTGTTAGGAAATGGAGACTTGGAAAAAATATTAAGTGAAGTAAGCCAGGCCCAAAGAAACATAGGCCCCATGGTTTCCCTTATATGCAAAGTCTGAGACAAGTAGAAATGGTCAGGTAAGTTGATGTTAGGTGAAATGAACCCCAAGATAAATATTCAAATATTTTTCTTTCATGCAATTGTTTCTAACATATTTATAAGATGATTTCTTTGTTGCTTTGTATGTCCCTCCCCCACGGTTTAACACCTGCTTTTACTGTATTTGATGTTGGTATAATTTGTGGAGGGGAAGAAAAAAAACAAATTGTTTAAATAGGGATACAGGTGGATGCATTGCAACAGTGAGATGTACAAGTCCTTATGTTGAAAAACGAACTTTACAACTTTGGCTGGGGTTGGGGGATGATATGGGGGAGATGGGAATGGATAGGAAGGTGAAACAAAGGAGGAGGCAACAATGCTTGATAAGAAATATACTCATTATCTTGCCCATCTAATTGTAACTTTGCTGTATGGTATTTTCACAATAAAAATAAAAATAAAAAAATAAATAAATAAAATAAAAACGAACAGGTTATTTATAAATGAAAATAACTAAGGAAGATAAAAACTAAGGAAGTTATTGTTAAGGCAATAAACATCTACACAGCTAAGGGAAAAGCTGACAGGAGGAAAAACCAAGAACCAAGCGAGCGTTTCAAATAAAAGAAGTTTCAACACCTTTGCTGGCATATTTACTCTATATACAGAAACTTGAAGAGATCTAATCCAGATAGCAGAATTCCTTCATCACAGAAAATCATTATTTATAGTTTTCAGAACTTCCTTATATATCTAAAAGTTGCAAAATTGGCAAAATAGGAAACATCTTAGAAGTTACCTCACAATGCAATGTAGAGAAATACATTCTGTTTTAAACCTGGAAGATTATTACCCAACTTGTGATGTTTATTTAACTGGTACTCTTCTAGAAAAGTGTAAACTTACCAATTTATACATTTTTCCAAAATGGGACCCTGTTTGAAGCTGTTTTAGGCCAAGAGCTGACTATATCAGACTTTACATTACTATACCAAATATAGGTTAGCCATGCCAGAAAGACAAATCATGTGATTTACTGTGAAGGTTTGTCATCATGTAATAATCAATCATATAAATAACCAATTACATAACTACATTGACAACTCAACTGAAAACTACTTATTTATTCAAAGTTAACTATATTGACAGCTCAACTGAAAACTACTTATTTATTCATTCTAAGTTAACTATATTGACAATTCAACTGAAAACACTTATTTACTCATTCTAAGTTTAATATCTTTTCATGTGTTCTATGACTCCTGACACCATTTTTCAAATTTTTGAGAGTCAGATGCTGATGTCCATGTTTTTAACTCTAAGAAAGCTGAGATTTGAGCATCCTAATTTGGAGTCAGCTTAGGCAAACAGCCCATCAGACTCTTCGATAAACCATCAAAAAGCCAAAGGTGAGCATGTGGCTCAAGTTGTACAAAAGTCAAACAAGAGTGCAAGGCCCTATGCTGGCATTAAAAAAAATTGAGTGGTTTGGGGAATTCCATGAACTTCTAGTTCTTCTCACAAAGTAATAGCTCCCAGCAATAAAAATTTCTCCACAGTTCACACAGAAAGCATATCATTAACTTTGAAAACAATTCAATCTTTTTGACTTGATTATGATTAAGGTTAGAATTTAAATAATATGTCAATTTGAGGCAGAAAGTAAATAGCATATACATTCAAGACAATTAAGCACTCAGATACTTTCATATAAACATCCTAGATAGAATGGACAGAGTATCTAGAATTATAAATCAAGAAAAATTTACCACAAACTTAAAATTTCTATAGCATGTTACTAGACAAATGCTCATAAAATATGTCTCTAGTTCATCATGTTTAATGTTTTGTAATAGTTGATGTGAGCATTGTTTAAAAAAATTCCATTAGTGTCATTCTAATTTCTTTAATGACTCTGGATTCACCTTTAACACTTCTCAATAGAAAATAATTTGTCCAACCCAATTCTGATGTTTTTACCTATCAGAAGAAGTGCGGCATCCATCACTGCTGCACCATTCAGCATTGTAGCCATCAAAATATCATGGCCAGGACAGTCAACGAAGGAGACATGTCTAACAAAGGAGAAAAAACAGCCAATATTTCAATATTCAAATCATTTACCTTTATGATTTTATATTACTTTGAAATGAACTTTACCAAATAAATTTAGTCACTAAAACCTTGACATATTCAGAGATTAATAGATTAAAAATATAGATTATTACTACTAGCAAAGCTAGCTATGTGAAGATGTTTCAAATACTAAATTCTAATAAGCCTTGGAAAACTCATAAATCCTATTAAATAAGATAGATGCTTTATTCCAAAGTAACAATGAAAATAACACTAACTCAAAGGTTAAAAACCTAATGGGTCAGGCACTCTTTCACTTATGGAGAGATAGTAGATATGTGTGTGTGTGTATATATATATATATATATATATGTAATATATATATATATCGACATATAAACACATATATAAAATATACACACATATGCCATGTGATTACAAAAAATTAATTACACATATTTTTTTAATTTTCAGAAATTAATTTTGATCTTTTTAATTTTCAGCAATCAAATTTAGTTTCATGTATAAAGCAGTTATTTTAAAATCTAATAAAAATTAAAAGTAATAATTTTCTTTTGTGAACACGTGTCTCACAAAGATCTAGTACTAAAGATAATATAAAGATATCTCCCTATAGTTTCTTCAAAAATTTTATCATCTGTGTTAATACTCAAATTATTTTGAGTACTCATGGTTACATCTTGCTATTTATTTATGAAAAACAGATTCCAGGATCTAGGCATTTCTGGAAGATTATTAAGTCTGAAATTACATAAATCTCTTATCAAAAACAGGGTGTTAGATTAATAAACTACACACATCACCTCATATACATTAATTTCTAATTATAATACCTAATACACTATTACATAAATAGGTGTTATTCTGTACTATTTAAGAAATAAAAAGATAAAGTATTTTCTTAACTGAAAATTTCTTGACTTAATATCTGAATAATTGGGATATTGAACACGTATCAAGACACAATGTTGAAAACGAACTTTACAACTTGTGGGGGGGAGGGAGGGAAAGAGGAGTGGGGGAAATCAGGAGGGAAGGTACGTAGGAAGAAAACTAAGGAGGAGGTAACAATGCTTGATAGGAAGTGTACTCATTACCTTACTCATGTAACTGTAACCCCTCTGTATACTACTTCTACAATAAAAAAGGTATTAAAAATGTAAGACAATGTGTTAAAAATCTGAGTAAACAGTATAAAGTATGTATGAACTTAGGATATACATATATATATAGGTAAAGCTATAATTAAAATTATTTAGTTCCTTTTTTTTTGCTTATGAGCACTATTTGAAAAAAATCCACTAAATTTTGTGAAGTATCAATGTTTTTACATTTTCCTAAACACTGTATTTAAAATTTCATGTTTATACATTCACTACTAGTATAAAAAATACAGTTAGCCTGTGTTGGTCCTGTATCTTACAACGCTGATAAACTTAAGAACTTTGTCTCTGGCATTAATGATTTATATCTACAATCCTAGCAACTCAGAAGGTTAAGATCTGAGGTGCAACCATTTAAAACTAGACCCAGACAGACAAATCCTAATCTCCAATTAATAAGCAAAAAGTAACAAGCAGAAGTACAGTTCCAATGAAAGTGATGCCATGACTGAAAATGAGGCAAAAGTGTAAGATACTCAGTTTAAGGGCAAGCAGTAGTACCAAGAAGAAGAAAATTAAAAGGATCTACAAAAATGAAAGGTAACACTGTATGTACAAAGATTTATAACTTCTGGTATAAGATGCTTCAAGATACTTCTTGAGGCATACCTCTCTAAAACTTTTCGTATATTGTTTTATTTTTGCTCTTCAAAGTATTTTTCATGGCAAAAAAATGTGATAAGCAGATTTTAAATTCGTTTTGGAAAAAATATGATAGTAACATACTGAATTTGCTAAACCTCTAGTATTTGAAAAACTACAGTCATTATAACAGAATGACAACACTAAAATAAAACTACTTGGCATGTTAAGAGATACTACAATTTATAGAAGTTCGTCATAATTTAAACTTTCCATGATGAGTCTAACACCTAAACACATCACTTTGGACATCAGTGTCTTCTTATGATGAACATAAGCAGGCATGCAATTATTTTTTACAAAGCTGATATAAAATTACATAAAATTAAGGTTTGCACTTTTCATACTGAACAAAAAAAATAGAAATAAAACCTGGACAAACTATCAGTTCCAATGATTTCATTCTTCTGATGTACTACTGCCTTAGAAAAGTTGCAACATGTGTATTTGAACCATATTTAAACAAATTATTTTCAAACTATATTTGTTATAGACAACAAAAACATCTTCTCTTTTAGTCAGATTTTGGAAGCTGTAATTGCTTAACAGGTCCATTAATTATTGCAAGTGAAGGTAGAAAATAAATGTATTTATTTGGTTCAAAAATAATTACCTTACTAGTTTGAAGTATCCTTTGGTCCCTGGAATGTCTGTAGGAAACTCATCAGGGGTACTACTTCCACAAGATCTGTAACATTCTGGTCGAGGACAAGTTGGGTCATCAAGTTTATAAATCTGAAAGTTTCAAAAAAATTGCTGAAGTTTTCACTTACATTTTCAAGAAGTAAATGCTTTCTACTTCCACAGTATTCTAAATACCTTGGCATTAGCATATCCAAGCTTGATGGTGATATTCCTTTCCAGTTCATTTTTGAACCTGACAGTGTGAACACCAGAAATAGCTTTTACAACTGTGGATTTCCCATGAGCAACATGTCCAATTGTTCCTATAAAAAAATCAAAATAATATTCATTCAATTAAACCAATATTACAATTATAAAAGCTAAAACTACAAACAAAAAAAATCAGCATAAATTTTATTTTTCCTCCAATATCCTATTTTCTTTTTTTTTTTTTTTTTTTTAATTTAATTTTATTTTATTTGTGAACATACTGTACAGAGGAGTTACAGTTACATGGGCAGGATAATGTGTACATTTCTTACCAAGCATTGCAGCCTCCTCCTTTGTTTATCCTTCACATCCCTTCAAATAACATTTTAAACATAGATGAAGAAAACTTCATATAATTTAAAACACTGTCTAAAAACAATAATAAAAGGAATTCAAGCTTCAATTCTAAAGATTCCCATAAACATTTAATGAAAGCTACAAAACTTTCTAGTATTTGTAAAATGCTACAATGTCGCAATAGCAGACCTAACAATCTGTTACCAAAAATATTTAATCCGGGAAACTCAGAAAAAAATATTAACGATATCAATAAGGGTGTTAGGAATGGGATATTTGTCTTAAGACTTTTAAGTAAGTGTGAGTCTAGTTTGTTCTACCGTTTGTATGGATGGTAATGCAAAGGTTTTACTCAAGTCACTATAATTTATCTTTTAAAATAATGACAACTTAAAAGAAAAAAAAAGATATCTAACAAAACCCAATTTAGTCCTGGAAAGGGTGACACAAAAGGAAGGTAAGGTCCATGCCAGCCTGGGCTACATACACCCCGCCCAAATTTAATATTGAAAAGAGGAGCCAGGTGCTGGTGGTTCTCACCTGTAATCTTAATTAACTTGGAAGGCTGAGATTTGAGGATTAAAGTTCAAAACTAGGCAAGGCAGAAATGTCTGTAAGACTCTTATCTCCAATAAATTTCCCCCAAAAGCTGGACATATAGAGCTGTGGCTCAAGTGGTAGAGCATGAGCCTTGAGAAAAAAAAAAAGCTCATGGTCAGTGCACAGGCCTAAGACCAGCACACCACACACACAGAAGAAAGGAAGAAAAAAAAGAGCTACTTATCAAGTATAACTTTTCAAAACATTGCTCTTTTAATAATATTGCAGCAGGTATTTTCATTCCTCTTTAAACTTCTATAACTGCAAAGCAAACACTGACATTTTAGGTATCTGTATCTTTCTTCATGTACTTGATTTTTCTTTTGGTACTGAGTGACATTCTCAATTCTCGTCCTACAATATAGGATGAGGCCATTAAATATCTTTCTATAAGCCAGTAAATCAAAATTAGAATTCCCTTGGAACAATCAACTCACAATGAGAGAGCTTGATAATTCTTTAGATACTTAATTCTTACCTATATTAATTGTGGCTTGTCTGCTGATAACTTCCTGTGAAAGTGGAGTCAACTTGGTAACATCCTGCAATGGAACATTTCACTTTAAACCGTATCTGAGGTACAAATCCAGCTTTCGTTTGACTTACGTTTGCTACAATATTTCGCTCCTGGTTTTCTAGAAACTGCAGTTTCAATGAATTTTGGGCCAGAAACACTAAGTAGCTTTTCATATTCCCAATAATGGCAATTCTAAATTCCATTAACTATAAAACAAACGTAAATTTTGTATCAAAAAAACTAGTAATTTTCCATACCATGAAGGTTCAAAGCTTAATAATGTTAGATATATGGTGCCTTTCTAGGCATTCAGAGGTGAAAACTAACCACATAGAAAACTCAACGAGTCATAAATAAGCTGGAGATCAAACAATCCGTTCCCAGAGGTATCGAAGTATTACCGTTTCACAAGTGAGGCCTAGAGTGCCTGTCTGTAAGGCTCCCTTGTCATTTATTTCCTGGCAGCCAAGAAAAGGCTCAACCCAAAGCCTTCTCTATGGTCAAGTTCTCTTTGAAATGTTCTAAGTCAAATCCTCACCAAAGTGGCGAGATCTTGCCGTGAAAGCTGCGGTTGCCCCAGCGTAACCACGGCTTCCGAACCCTCCATCTTGTGCCGAGAGACAAAAAAGTACTTCCGGCCGCAGTCTGACAGGCCCCCTTGAACGGGGCGGGGCAAGTGGAGGTGGGAAGGCCGACTTAGATCCAAGCCTGGAGAAAAAAAAAAAAGACAAATATATCACTAACCCCATTTTATGGACCTGTTATCTACTCTTTTCTTAATTGTACTTGGGAAGAGGGTTACTAAAAAACATTATACAGTATTTAAGAGAGTATTCATGGCGTCTTTGTTGTATATTTGTTCAGGCAGTGCTTGGAACAGCTCCTTTATGGGACCTTTTAAAACTCGCGCTCAAGGAAAGTAATTTCCGTTTCTGTGGGCTAGACCTGAAAAGTTACGGAACCTGTGTTCCGTCACAGAACAGTGAGACCAGAAAGGGGGGAACCCTTAAAAAATTACTCACTTCGACTCTTAAGTCCTTTGTCACCTGTTTTGAGACAATTATACCTGATAGGATGCTTGTATGCCAGGGAGCACACGCTCATGTGGAAATAAAATGAAAAGTCCTGTAGAGGTCCAGCAAAGTCCTAGCTATTCCCCACGGAACTGTTTTTAGAGCCAGGGACCGTTGTCATGATAATACTGGCGGATAAATGGGTGTCCCAATCCGTAATCCTACCTAGTCTGGAGGCTCTGAAATTCAGAAATACCTCAGAATTCAGTTGGGGAAGAAAAGTCTAGACTTTCTTTCCAGAATAACCAGCAAAAACCTTAATGGGAGGCATAGCTCAATTGGTAAACCATGCTGAGCAAACAAGGCCACTTATGTCATGACAAAAAAGATTCACCAAGCTGGGCGCCTGTGGCTCACGCCTGTAATCCTAGTTACTCAGGAGGCTGACATCTGAGGATCGTGGTTCAAAGCCAGCTGGGCAGGAAAGTCTGTGAGACTCTTAACGCCAATAAACCACCAGAAAACCAGAAGTGGCCCCGTGGCTCAAGTGGTAGAGTGCTAGTCTTGAGCTGAAGAGCTGCGCAGGGAGAGAGGGGGGTTGCAGCTTCCAGGCCTAGAGTTCAAGCTCCATGACCAACTTAAAAAAGATTCATGAAAAAACAGAAGGCAGAAGATTCAAAACAACAACAAACCCTAAAAAAATAGATTAAACTTAAAATTATTCATGAAGTCTCATATTTAAAAGTAGAGATGGGTCATCCTATATCCTTTCAGCATTTTTAAAATTCCCCTTCCCCATCCCAGATTAGACAAATGTATATACAAAATGCATGGTACCAAAATCAAGTATAGTGTCGTTACCCCCCCCCCCCCATTTTTATTAAACAACAGAGTGCCCACCTTTCAACGTCAGCTCTACCCACACCTGAGTTCCTCCCTGCCCTGGAGCTCCTGCAATATAGCACCCCCACTTCCTGACACCCCCCTTTCCCTCCTCCCCCCTCCCACCCACCTGCATTCCCATCTACCTCACTTCCCATCCCCCAGACCCTGCTGCTACTTAGATAGTGGAGGCCTACATGTACTTTCTCTCTCTGGGGGCAAATACCACTCCTCTAATAAAGCTTCTAATAATCTTTCTCCTGTGCATGTCTGCCCTGGCATGGGATGTGACAGATCCTGTGATGGATCCTTTCATCATCTTATATGGTCATAAGTACACAAGACAGTATATTGGGAATGAACATTACAACTTGGAGGTGAGGAGTGAGGGAGTTTTGGGAGGGAAGGGATAGTAGAACAAAAATGGTGTGAGTAACAATGCTGGACAAGAAAGGTACTCATTGCCTTATTCATGTAACTGTAACCCGTCTGTATGCATGTTTACAATAAAATAAAAATTAATAAAGTGGAAATGAAACCATGCAATAGATGATAGAATTTTTGTCTCTATTCTTGTACTATAGCGGGTGGATTAAAATCATAGATTGGGTTTTTTTATGTTCAAAAGAATACTTCTTTGTGAATAAAGTATTTGTATTTCTAGTTAAAAAATCACAAAAGTAAATCATCCCTGATTTAACTAGGCAGTAAGTCTAGGGGCTAGTGTCATTATAAATGGGAAGGAAATTTATATGTAAAGACACAAAGGCACATAAGAAAGAGCCAGAAGAAAGGCAAAAACTTAACTTACGCTACCATAGGCATGCCAAAGATTCCTGGTAAGCAGAACACTAAGATGTGTAAATTTAATATCTTTTCATTCTCTCTAAAAGAAACAAACTTTGTCAACATCTTGAAATTTGGCCACTGTTCTTTATACTATGTACAATAAATAGTTGTTAATTTCAGTTGACAAAGTTGGTAGTAATTAGTTTTAGGACTGATTTATATATCTGTGGTAAGGGAAATCATCCCCAAAGCCACATTTTAAAATGTAGAGTATTGGAGTCTTTAATATACAGTTGACAGACTGCAGGCTTCTAATTGTTACAAAGGCCTGCAGCATGCAAATGCATATAACACTAGGAAGCATGCTAAAGAGGAAAGAAATAACAAAAACAATACCAACAAGCCAATTCAGCTCCAATGGAGAGCTGAAGGACTCCATGATGACTGGAGACAGTCAGGAGACAGGACACAGGACATGATCACAAAAACACACTGTGACATGGAGTCCTGATGGCTAGTTTGGTCCAGGCAGGAATTTCCTGAGGATCTGCCTCCTGCACTGACCTATTAGGTCAGTGCAGGAGGCAGATCCTCAGGAAATTCCTAGTCCCAGGCACTAGACTGACAGATTCATTAACCTATCAGCCAAGTGCCTGTTCCTGCCTCCAGGGGTCCAGGTCCTCCCATTACTTGGGAGGCAGGTGAGGGAGGGTAGATTTCCTTCCCCCAGCATGAAGAAAAGATGCCGGACCCTACCATATACCATGTGGCCAACATGGCAGACCTGACCTTCTTACTTCTTATCTTAAAAACTCCACACATCATAGGCAGAAACAATTTACATGGAGTAAAGACTATTACAAATTATACAAGATTTCTCTCCTTCTTTTCCTTTTTTGTCAGTTGTGGGGCTTGAACTCAGGGCCTGGGTTATGCCCCTGAGCTTTTATGCTCAAGGCTAGTGCTCTACTTCTTTGAGCCACAGTTCCACTTTCATTTCTTTTTCTGCTAGTTAATTGGAGATTCTTTTTCCCTGGGCTGGCTTTGAGCTGGGATTCTCAATCTCAGCCTCATGAGTTCTTTCTTCTGGCATTTCTCCTTCTGACTTTGATGCTTTAGGCTTATCAGGCCTCAAAGTAACTCATTCCTTTAAGATTGGTCATAAATGGTCCTATTCCAGTTTTACAGAGATCTTTCAGGACTGAAGCAAAAACAGTGTTTTCAGAAAGACTGACAGTTTATTGGGGCTTATGTATACAACTATTTCTTTTTTAAAAAATTATTTCTTTTATATCATTAAGGTGATGTACAGAGGGATTACAGTTACATATATAAGTAGTAAGTACATTTTTTTGTCTTTTTACCCCTCCTCTCATTTTTCTCCCACTTTCCATCCCTCAATAGACTCCCCCAAGTTGTACAGTTCGTGTCCAACATATATTGAGTATTGCAGTTGGATTGATGTGCCCTTTGTATACTTCTTTACAAGGTCAATTTGTATGGAAACAAGCTGATAGATGAAAAATTTCTAGTTAAAACTAGGTTGAGAATAGGAATAAATGCTATCTATCCTCAACATGTTGGAGCATACTTATTTTTTATTTTTATATTTTTTGCTTTTGCTCTTTTTTTGTATGTTTTTCATTGTAAAAATGCTTACAGTTACATGGGCAAGGTAATGAGTACATTTCCTATTGAGCATTGTTGCCTCTTCCTTTGTTTTCCCCCTACCATCCATTACCCAACTCCACCCCCACCCCACCCCCCACCACTCACATTCCCCTACTTTTTTTTGTATTCTCTAAAAGTTATTTACAGTTAATTAGTTAAAAAGCAAAGTAAAATCATATGCACATTAAACCATCCTCAGAGAAACAATTAGTTCTACTAAAAACAATTGCTTTCTAATGCACTTAAGACATAACAGTTTATTAAAAACTATTTTAACATACCAATAAATGTTAGCTCTTTCTATATATATGTTCACTAAAAATCACCTATTTTAAGGATGCTGTAGCAACCCTTAAAACAAAAAAGTTTGCATTCAAAATTGTTCAGATTTGTGTTTAAATTTTTTTAAATTGAAGAGATTTCTGAAAAATAAGACTATCATTTGCACATAGCAAATCAGTAGGTATTAGCCACCAGCTTGTTAGACTTGTCCAATAGTGAATTCAAACTTAAATCAAGATGAACACACACCACAACATAAACTGAATCTGTAGCTTACTTTGTGTGTATTTTTTTTGTTTTTTTTTTTTTAATTTTTTTTTTTTATTGTGAAACTGTACAGGAGGGTTACGATTACTTGGGCAAGATAATGAGTACATTTCTTATCAAGCATTGTAGCGGCCTACTTATTTTTAAGATAGCCTCTTGCTTCCCAGTTGCTAATCTGAGCTACAATTTGCCTATTTTTTCCATATTTATTTATTGAAATAACAACTTCCCTCATGGAGACAGAGCTTTTTAAAATACTTTTATGTCTAGTTGCCCTGGAACATTGTCAATATTAATTCAAAGAAACAATGATCTTTTCATAGGCAAAAATAAAAACTATGGGAGGTTATTTTTTCCCATTGCTTAGTGTCTTCTTTGATTTTTCTCTTTGGAGAATTCATAGTTTCATTGTACAAGTTTTTCCTTCTTTGATTAGATTTATTCCTAATTATTTTCATGGGGCTATTGCAAATAAAACTGTTTCCCTGATTTCTACATATGTCTGCACATTATTGCTATACAAAAAGGTACTGATTTTTGTGGGCTAATATTGTATGATGCTACTTTGCCAAAGTTATTGATTAGCCTTAGAAGCTTGGGAGTGGAGTCTCTAGGAATCCTTTAGATAAAGGATTATGTCATTTATTGAATAGAAATAGTTTTATTTATTTATTTGGTTCTCTTTTATGTTTTTCTCTTGCTAGGAA